TGGAAGGATTTCGTACCTTTTTTTTCCAAGCCGGCCAATTAGGTCGCCAAGCGACGGCGCATTGCACGGCGATAGGATGATCGAGCGGTGCGATCGTATCAGCGCTCGCGTGCCAGGATCATGGTCAGGACACTCGATAGCTCGATAAGTAATGCACCTTGATAGGATGACAGAAAATACACGGTCTAGAAGAAAGAGATGGGGGAAGGTAGAGAAAGCGAGAGATGAAATCAAGCAGGAGAAGTCCGCGCTTCCAGTGGTTCCTCTGGAAGTACGGACGATGTTATCGGGACGAGATATCGAGACCGGCAATGTGTGTCCCCCTACGAAACGAATGGAACGTGGCTCATCCGCGAGGCAAAAGGAACCATATGTGTCCAGCAGCGTATGCGCCGCGGTAAATGGTCGATAAATCGCCGCTCGATCTGCCTATAATTCCGTGGCATGCGAGATAACGGTGAGCGCCATAAGGTACAGACACCGCTGCTCGTTAGTTTCGAAACATGCGATAACAACATTGTGCTGATTCGCGTTTATCGAACCGCGACAACCGAAAAGCTGTTTGCATCGAAGCGAAGTGAGTTAAGACTAAACCTAATTAGGCACAATTTATTTCCGTCCCTTTTTACATTTCTACAGTAACTGTTGAGATTAAATATCATAAAGTTAATTAAATCAAGTTGTCCGTATTGGTGTTCCAATTAAATAAATTTTTCATAAGGCACTAATGAAGCAAAATAACATAGCATAAAGATAAATTCTTCTTGTTACGATTATTGCTATCCAATCTTCATTAGCGTTACAAAAATGACATGTAAACTAATTTGAAATTAATTTAACCATCTTATAGTTATTCCGCATCATCAAAAATTGATGTCCATCCTTTCATTTATCTGGTCTAATAGTTTCGCTAATTCTGTCCGATTGCTAACGAATTACACACCTGTTTTTGCTAGCATGTGGATCCTAATTAAGCGTAGGTCAAAGGTCGCGAGCAAGGGTGACCAAACGAGCCACCACAGATTCATCGTAGTCCATGTGACCGGCGTCGCTACCGATTATCGAGAGAGAACCCAGCTGGCTGCGCTTTGTGCCAGGACGTCGTTTGATCTTCGACCACGTGGCACGGTGGGGTGACTACGAGCGCGGTGTACGAGCCGGGGCCGTTGCGGCTAATTGCCAGCTCAGCGACCACGTCAATGAAATCTGCACTTCCACATCGCGTCGATGAGAAATCGAAGGCAACCCGGGAGCAAGGGGAAAAGTAGACACAGGGTGCTCTGCTCCCTCGCTGCAACTTCCATAATCGCACCATCGACCGAGATCTTCGTACGACAGATTATATTATATTAGATGCACTGCTAATTGGCTTTAGAAACGTATCAACGATGAGATAGCCATAAATATTTCAATTTATCTATATCTGTTTCGTTTTCTATACTTTTATAGAACTGCGTGCATATGTATGTGACAAATAGATTTTAAAAGTATGCAACTCTACATTAGTTATTTAACAATTAAAATCCGTCTTGCTTGAAGGAACAAGCGCATCATACTGTTTAAAAAATGAAGATGTCTAGTGTTTCACCAAGATCAAGAAATTCAAGAAAAGTTAAAGAGCCACAAAGGCCCTATTTAAAAATTTAAAAATTTCAAGAAATTCAAGTTTCTTAAGATCAAGACAGGAAATACAGTATCAAAAAAATGCTCAAGACAAGAAAAACGTAATTTCTTATCCTGAAAATTAGGACAAAACAAGAAATGTTCTTCAAGACAAGAAATCTTGTCTTAGTGAAATTTAGATGTCGAGCTGTCTATAATCAGTTTTATCTGATATTGATATTCACATTCCTTGTCATACAAAAGGTAACAATTCGAAGAATTTTAAATATCTTATAATCAATACGAAAAGGTAATATTCATCTTGTTAGCAAAAATCAATCGTCAATAAAATATTATAAAATCAATGACATCCTTTGCATTTGTTATATAAATCAGAGAAAATCCGAGGAAAGATCTAAAGAAGAGGGGATGAGAGTAGGCGGACGGCTGTTTGTGTAAGGGAGGAAGATAAGCCTCAATTATGCCGATTGACTCCTCCAAGTGATGCTAGGTAGGGGAATTTTGCTCCTCCTACTTGTCCTGTCACGTGATCTCAGACAACCTTCCTTCCTTCCTGCCTGCTTTCCTTCCTTTCGGTCTAGAGGGTAAGATCCTTCAAGAGTAGGGAAATGCACCGAGACATCTCGAGACATGAAGATGATCTGCCTGCTCGCACGATAATGAAGCGAGATATGCCTGTCAAGACATTTAAATGCACGAGAAATTGCATTCGTTTCAATTAATCGTAAAGATGCAGAGAGAATATTTCAATGCATATTATCTTTCGCTTAACAATCAAATAAAATTCAATAGCTTGAGCAATCAACTATATATTGTATTAAATAATTCGAAAAATATAATTGATAGTGTGTCGGTTGCATGGAAATACTTATGTTTAACCAAATAAGCATCATAATTTATTTTTACTTAAGCAACTTCAGTAAAAAAACTTTTTTTACTCACAAATAAATGTTTTATTCGTTATCTTCCTTTTTGCAAATTAATTGATTTGGAAGTATAAAACATTTTCCAACTACTGATAAGAGATAATATAAAATAAATAATAATAGAAATTCATAAATAATAAAATACTGTAAACAATTTAGAATCATATATCTATGACTACTAATTACGATCTAGAAATATATACAAGAATAAGAATAGAGAAAATTAATATTTCGCGATATGATAATCATCCCAAAAATTTAAGTTATGAATGACAACATACTTGTTGGTTCAAGGGGAGGCATTTATCTATCGAGATAAATAAAACGAAGTCGCACCGAAAGCGAGAAAAAGACAGATTCAAAGTGAGAGAAAAAGAGGAAAAGAGAAATCCAGGAATGGTCTATGGTCCACACATTTTTGCATCTTCCTTCTTCCTGCGCACGCTGTGTTATTTCTCTCTTTCTATCACAGCTCCTCGTTGTCACGTCATCCTTGTCTAGGTGGTTTTGTTCGTCCTTCTTCGTCTCTCACACTGAATCTCGGGGTGGTGGCCGATGGTGGTGGTGGTCGTGTCCGGATGGTGGTGGCTATGGTGGGGGGGTAGTTGGTTCCTTCGTGCCTATACTGCTCCCTATCTCTCCTTTCTCTCCCTATAGGAGGGCGAGGAGGGTCCCCGTAGCCGTGTACTGCGCACCGAGTTCATCATAGACAGAGCGATCTCTCTGACAGCTCCTCGTCGGTCTTGAACAGAGGCGGAATCATCCAGATTCTGTTTATCTCTCCGGCTCTACAGTAGCGTGGCGTCGGTGTCAGCGAACGTAGGAGACCAGAGTACACACGGGGATAACAAAAGTGCGTGACCTTCTCGCGTTTCTCAATCGGGCAGTTTGTCTCGAGCACCACAATCGTTTCAATTCCATTGTGCTCCCAGACGTTTAAAATTTCTAACTATTTAACTCTGTCTCATCTGCAGCTTTTCGACAAACAGTCTACCTTTGATCTTACCTTTCTGTCGACATGAATCTTTTCACCCCGCAAACGTGATCCGATCAAACGCATTAACACCTCTACTCCTAGAATTCTTCACGAAACGAATTCTCTTTTCCTCCCGCTCCTATCCGCGACCCTTCACGTTTCCACGTCTTCCGCAATCCTCAAAGCCTCGCCTGGCTCTGTCGTCACCGTCGCACCAAGCGTGACGATCTCGGGAAGTTTGCTATTTGACTGTTTGCACGAGCGAAGCGAGAGATAGGCGCGGTTACGAGGGAGAGAGGCAGAGGAAGCCACGGTGGAAGAAGAGGCGGTGGTTGAGGAGAAAGAAGAAGAGGACCTGTAACCGAGAGACGGGGAAGGGGGAGATCGTGATGGTCCGTGTGTGGGAGGAGTAGGAGAATCCGGAGGGCGACTTTTCTTTTATTTGAGCTTGACACTTCGCCGCGAGCGCACATACACCGGAAGTATCGAGTAAGTCATCAAGCTCTTCTCTCTTCTTCTACCCAACACATCGAAAGATCGATCAATTTGCCTGAATCTCGTTACCAACGAAAGAAAGTGAAGAAGAGAAAGAATTAACATACCCGGAGGGTGGAAGGACGATAGAATATTATCGGATCTTCGGATAGAGATTTTACCGAAAAGGGTATCGTGATCTACGACTTCGAGGTGCAAATTGGATAAAGGAATTATCCAAAGGCAAATTATGTTGGAATACTTATTCAGCGCCGAAGAAAATACCAAAGACATAAAGAATAAAACCGGTGCAACAAGGACTATAATAAGTGATAGTGACCTCACCATATACCTCGACAGTATTTGTCCTCCAAAGATAAGTGTATCTAACAAGATTCAGCGAAGCTGAAAATGTTCACATCGCTCTTGATAAATGTAACGGAGACCTTTCCAATGGGAACGTAAGTGAGTGGTTCATTAAAGGATAGCGAAAGTGAATACGCATTGAGAACGAGTCTCATCATCCAGCTAGCAAGCGAGCCGACGCAATAAGTTGTGACGAGAGCCGGAATCGAGACGCGTATACGCTCAATGAATCGCCCGATCGTCGCGGAATATTGTCCCGGAGTAGTTTTCGAAACGCACCCTCGAAGCAGAAAAACTGGGAGCTCTCGAATCGTACGGAACGTCAAAGGAGAAGCGCCGGTGCCCGGGGCGAGGAGGAGTTCTCGACGCGTGCCAGGCTGGTGATCACAGGCACCGCGGCGAGAAGAGTAGGAGAAAGACCGGAGAATACAAGGAGAGAAAGAGAAAGGCGAATGCGGAGAGAGTGAGAGAGAAAGGGAGATAAAGAACGGGAGCAGCTTCAGCATCATCTCGAACGAAGGGTTCTTCCGTTCGGGTGCTAGGGGTGTGCAACCCTGGACGAAGGGTCGCACTCAACTCTTTTAAAGTGGGTAAACCGCGCAAAGAAGCGAAGACGTCCTCGGGGCGATGACAGGATGCCTCCATCTCGTACAGGACGTGCATACGAAGGATCGCCATCCAGGATCGCCACCAGGATCGGTCCCACCGTCGCTTTGCTGCTAATTCTCTTCGAGCATCGCCGGTGAGTACCTCTATGATTTTACGCGACTCAGGAATTCATTAAAAATCATTTATAGAAACATCAATGCCAGCGATAAAAATCTTAGTACATACAAGTACATTTCAATTTCATATGCTACTTTAAAAAGAGACAGAAATTTATGTACGTATTTTAGTATTTTATTTATTATTTCATCCCATATAAAGTTATATTGATCAAGTCTGTTAATAGTACAGAAAAGAACTTCATACTTTAATATAATGCTCGTTCTTATAATTGTTATATCATATAAATATAATTTCCAGAGTAAAATATCATTGGTCTATTAAATGCATTTTATTTATAAAAATAATAATTTTATCATTGATATCCATGGAAATAGATAAAATAGTTTTTAGTAGATTTTGATTCCATATAAAAATAAACAATATACTGTATAAGATATATACGCAGTCTAGACATCTTTCGCGTATATAAGATTTAAAATAAACTTTTTTTCTGTAACATATTAAAATACAAGACGTTTTTTGTACACGTCATATTTGCAAAATAACTATATCAAAATATGTGCCGTTCTTAAATTATGCAAATTTATTATCGTGTTCATTACATGTTCCATTGTTCACTAACATCGCCAATCTATTTTCGCTTAAGCATCTCATCCGCCCTTCGTGACTGACTGACTAGTAATTCATGCGCGCGCGTCTCTACGATCCCTGAAGTATATCTTTCTCTCATTCTCTTCATCTTCTTTCTTCCCCTTCACTTCGCACTTCAGCGTCGCGGTGTGAAAACACTCTTCCTGGAGTGTCTGCCTCGTACTTTGGTCCACACGATACTCTGATGCGCCGCGATGCACCATAATGCAGACGTCAAAACGTCACTCTCGCCCGCTTTGTCCGTCCGTTGTGACGGAGCGCTACAAATCGCGAACTCGCTCACGAAATGCACGTTGTCCACTCCGCGATGGAAAATACACGACAATGTCCACGGGACAACCGAGGAGAAGCTGCAACGAGCAACGGGCTCGCCGTGTCTAATCTCGCCAAGAAAAATTTACGAGCGCGGTAGCACGGCCAGCTTCTTCGCCCTCTTTTTTTCACAGTGCATCCTCCATGCTCCTGATGCACCTCTTCTCTTGACACTCTCTCTCTCTCTCTCTCTCTCTCTCTCTCTGTCTCTGCTGAAAGAATCCGTCAATAGGGTGCGCTTCTTCGACCCGGCGGTCGTATCGACGGCTCCATAGAGGCACACAATGACGAAGTGCAAATAGACCGTTCCAACCAAGCTCCACATCACGAAGAATGAATCCCGCTGCGATCTTTATTATAGCTCTCCGTAATACTAATCGCGCCTTATGCACCAGGATCGTCCTGAACAAATCCTTTTCTTTTTTTGCGAAAAATGTACCAGTGAAACGACGATTCTCAGGCAACTTGCAGATTGAAAAACAGATTGCTTTGATACTGCTTCGACAGAGGTGTTGCCACAAATGTACGAATGTATTATACATAAAAAACACAATTTATTAAAAAGTTTTGTAACTATTTCAAGAATAGTAAATAATATCTCAAGTCAAATGGAAAGATCAAAATGGTACACATAAGTTTAGATAAAATTAAGAAATGTTGGCTCAATTAAAGCGAATTCCTTGATGTACACTTTACATTAATAACATTACCATAATAATATTCTCTCTCATTAACTTATACACTTAAGATTCTCATTATAAAGTTGTTACGTTGATAAACAACAAGATCGTCGCTTAGTATAACTTTCAATCACAGACGCTATAATCATAAAATCCGGTATCACGCGTATAAACGTGCCAAGTAATTAATTTTATAATCGTGGAGTTTCGTGATACATTCCTCGTTTGTTAACGTCTGGGGTGTGATATCGTACTAGATAATCGCCAATGGTTCCGTGCAGGTTCTCAAAATATATATACACATGAACGATTCTTCGTCAATGGTGACGGCTTCAATAGCCTCTTCTCCGAGACCCACGTAGCTTCTTGTAAATAATTATGTCTAGCATCCGGGAACAGAACGTGCGTTCACGTGTGTGAGTAAATCCACGTACGTACGTTCACATATGCACACTTATACGAGCCGGACTTGCAGGACGGCATTGAATTACGGTTCTGATGATATAATAGTCAATAAACTGGTTCGCGCGCGTCATTAACGTCTTAACACGCGTGCACGCGGCTTTCCCTGATTACGTCGCAATGCGTGTTTTTTTTTTTTTTTTGCACGATGCGAATTTACATCGCAGATAAATTACAACAAGAAAATGTATGATGAAAGAATTTAATATGCTATACCATACTTCAAATCTTACTAATAAAAATTAATCGCGCGTTGAAGATTCAGCAAACTTTATATTCCCAGTTTTTGTTGAGATAAAAGCATAGTTGACAATTTCTATAATATTAAATTTTTCACGGCAGATACCAATATATATATATATATATATATATATATATACAATTAATTAATTAATTAACAACATATTAAATGTAATCAACTTATAAAAATCTATTATGACTAAATATAAATTTTTTTAGCAAAGCATATAATTGAAAATTATAGAAATCATTTTAAGAAAGCCTAGATAGCGACAGCTTAAATGATAATTCGCGGTTAAACCATTCGCGGCTTCAAATGATATCATTTTCAAGGAATTCATATATTATATCGAGGAAGAGATTGTGTGAAATCTTGAATGTTTATTAACAAATGGAGTTTTAACGCGAATGCCCTGTGAGCTCTCTAGTAATTGACGAACTAGATGAGAATCCAGTTTTATCGTCAAGTTACAAGTCGCCATAACTTACGCTGCTAGATACCATCTGCAGAACGTAATTCGCGGCCTATCGCATTCCCGACAATGTACTCGCTGCGAAATCGATTTACTCTCATAAGATCGAGAGAAGAGCGGAGGCACCACGATATCTACCGCAGGTATTCTCGCGGGTCGGATCGTGAAAAAAGGCGAGTTCTCTCTTCCCACTGAGTATATCCCATTAGACGCGAAATTCCGTGCCGTGTTCCTCTCTCATCTCCGCGAGCAGGACGAAAAGGGAGGGAGGGATTAAATAAAACACGTGCATGTCGCCATCTTGGATTCTTCTGCGACCCCTTAGATTATTGCAAAAATGCGGGACACGCGCTCGCGTATCTCGTCTCCGATTTGCCCAGCGGATTCCCTGAGCACCTGAAGACCGAAGTGAAACTATAACGGTCTCTGCGGTAAAAGCGCTGATTGTTTATGTGCAATAAATCGATCTTACTGCGTTTTAATTATTACTGTAGTCTTTAAATGCAATTTCAAATACATGCAACTCTTAATTAAAAACTCGGCATTTCATAAAATAAATGATCTCTAATTTATTTAAAGTCTCATTTCTTAATCAGTACTGTGATGTAATAATCGCACACAATTGGTTCACCGTTATACAAATTAACATAATGTGTGCTGTACGTACATAAATTAAACGAGAGAGTAATTATATTTTTAATACTTCATGGTTATTATTTATAATTTTATAAAAAGGTATCTTTCCAAGTGTCTTTATCTTTTCATTTACAATAGTTTTATAGTAGTTGGTTTGAAAAACATTATTTAAAGTTCGTTTTATATTTGTAAATGTAAAACGATAAGTTATTGCAAAAAGACTCCATATACATATAAAAAATACCCATCATTCATTTTTAATCGTACATACATATGTATGTAAGAGATAATTCGACAAAATTGTTCTCGATAGATTAATCTGCGTAACAATTATGAGTTTTATAATAATTATACTGATTAATAAACAAAGATTTGCGGTTTCAACAAAACGATTGCTTTAAAGGGTTCGGTACGTAGAATAATTGCCTTACGTATCCGACTCGTTTCTTATTCGCGAAGTGAGACGCATGCACGAGCGGGGTAGCCGAGACGAGAGGTAGCGAAAGGAATCTCTTGATACAATCCAACTTCCTCTGCAGGTACGCGGTGTCTTCCGTAATTTGTTGGGAGAGTTAAGATCATTAATCTGCTTTCGGTAGATCATCAATAGCGCGAAAGATAGCAGCGGTGCAACGGTGTACCGGTAATGGGAGCTCTCAATAACCTCCGCGACCCTAAAACCTCCCTCCCCCTTCGACGTCGTTCTTTCCCACACTACTACGAAGTATCGCGCCAGGACCTTTTTACCTTTTCTTCTTATTAATGCCCATTCGCCCCGTCCTCTCCTTCCTCTATCCTCCTTAAATTCGCTGTCGCCGACTTCTTCGTCCTGCTCCTCTTTCTTCGTTCGCGCGGGTGCTATACACAGCTTTTACTTTAGAAGAAGCTCGTCCGCTAATTTGTACCCGCAGATAACCAAGCGACCCACGAAGAGCCTTGCACCCGCCCATGACATCCTACAGAACCCTACGACTCCACCGAGAACTCCTCCGAGGAAAAAATAAACCATTTCGGAACGCTACGAGCAGATTAATGATGATCGCGAGAAAGAGTATGGCGATTTTCGCGCTGCTGGCCAATCTTGCGAGTTTCAATGATCATCGATGGGAAACTTTTTGATCATATGTTCATGTTTTAACAATTTGTGTTAATTTTTATGAAACCATTCTTCACGGACAATTATTTAGTTATTCTAATTGATCTTACAAGATTTTACGAGAAAATTTCAATATTTGTCATATTTAATTTTTGCTGTTTTGGTAGAACTAGAATAATTTTGTAATAACTTCTGCGCTTTAATATTTACAAAAATACTTAAAGTACATATTCTTCATAATCTTTTTATTCAAAAAATAATTTATTGAAGACTTTATAAAGTATAATGGCGTTTTTAAAATTAAAAAATTTGTAAGGATCAAAGGTAATCGACACACAAAGGAAGCGCAGCTTGAGAGAGCAGTGGTTAATCCAACAGAATTCAATAAAGCAGTTCAGTTTATGGCTTACTATTTACTAAATACATTCGGCAGGCAATAAAAAAAGCTGTGGAAAAATTCTAACGGTGCATATCCTTTTGGTAAAGCATGAGGTAACTGGAAATGAAGATTCTGGTCTTATAGCGACAAATGAAGCGAAGGAATAACCCTCCCCCCCCTCTCTCTCTCTCTCTCTCTCTCGACGAACCGACGCACGCTCTCAAATACACGCGACCCAGACCGGCATACAGCGTATAAGAGCACGCACGCTCGCCTCTGCCGTTTCTTTTTTTCACCTCGAAATTAATTAACACCCGGTACGCCGTAATACGTAGCCATTAGGCAGCAGCCGTCGCTTAAGATAGCGTTTTAAGAGCTCCTCTTACAAGAGATGAATGCCGTTATCGCGACCAAGCGGGGGATGAGACGCAGGGTGAACCCCGGAGAAGCCGAACGTGGGCCTTTCCTTCTGCCATCTCTTCTCCGAAGAGCGCGATGGCAGAAACAGACGGTAAGATAGAAACGGTTTTATCGGCTCTTTAGAAACGTTCGCACCTCTTGACCCCGGCCTCGTAAAATTGAAGGAAAACGGACGCTCGCGTGCGGTGCACGCGTGCGCGAAAGTACCCGCGCGTGACCGTAAAACCTGCTCCAGACTGCCACGATTAGTGCTGCACCTTACAGATTCGAAGATGCAAGCCGGGCCAGCTCTCGATATTCAATGCCTCCGCACAAGCATTTCCATTAACATACTGAGTGTGAAATTTAGAAATCGCCGTTTAAAACAAACATCAGCATACAGCTATCCATTTAATTGCTGACTAAGTAGATTGCTAAAAACTATCACCACTATAATACAAATAAGATATTAAACAGAAATAAAAATTTTAGAAAATAACACTGTTATTTTTAAGATTCGTTACAAGTAAAAGTAAAATGCTATGAATAAAAAAAAAAAAGGATTATACCGAGTCCACTTCAGAAAAGAATCTAAGTATTTTCTCTATTCGTGCTCATAAAATATCGATGTTTTCTATAGTATCTCAATACCGATGATTATCCGTAGTGTAATTGCTTGCACACCGTTATCAGCGAAGAACTCAACGATAATCAGTTTCGCGAGTTTAACCAGGTGGCGAGCTTGACCGGCTGCTTCCCTGCTTCCTCACGTCGTCACTAATTACACTCGACATACGCTAAACTAATATGTACGTTCGCAACTGAAAAGAGAAGTAACGGCAATGAAAAGACTATGATGCGAGTTGTAACTTGGCGAGAAATACTTATAGCTTATCACATTTTCATTTTTGTTAACTTCTACAAGGATATATTTTTGGTAGGTATATAGCAATATATTCTAATTTAATTAAAAAATCATTCAAATTCCGATCAAAGATTTTGCAAAAATTTATGACAAATCAAATATACGACATAATTTATGACGTACAAAGTAGTTCTTTTCGCAAAATTTTCCGGGAAAGATGCGAAAGGATTAATTGCATTTCTATACATGTTTGCATTTCTATTTAGCAATCATCAAAAGAGCGTTTTAAAAATAAAAAAAAAGTGATATCTCTAACGATAACAAATTATATAGCCTCTCGCTATTCAGAACTTGCGATTAAAATCGAAAACTGAAATTGATTGCACGTTATATGACATTAATTTTGTTCTCAAAAGATAACTTTAAAATGACAGCCATATTATCGAATTGCACATTGTATGATTTCTGTATTAACCGTAAAAGTGGAAGATGCGTCATATGTATATATATTTTCCAATTCATCCAATCTTAATTTTAGAAAAGAAAATTTGTCTAATTTTATATTTAATTATCGCATAGCCTATAGTACTTTAATGATAACCGCTTAAGGCAATCGAAGAAATCGACGATTATTCATGCGCCGATTATCACTTTGCTACCTTTTTCAGCGCAAGTTGCCTAATGAGCAATTCAGTGGATGATTGGGTGAGTGGCAGCGCTGTCGTTTGTAACGGCATTCCAGGATTGACGAAGGATCAACGCGAGCTTTGCCATAGAAATCCCGATGTTACCGTAGCCGCGATCAAAGGGCTACAAATGGCCATATCCGAGTGTCAACATCAGTTCATGTGGCACAGGTGGAACTGCTCGTCCCTCACAACTAGCAGCAGAACTCAACAGAGCAGCGTCCTTCTTCAACGAGGTACTAAGAATACTTAACGAGCGAAATTATCTGATCAGATCTGAACTCATGATTAATAATCTACCTTGCCACTAATGGCGTATTAATGTTTCCTGGATCATTAAATTCGTCTCGGTTTGCACTATATGAACAAAATATAAAACCCGTTATGAAACTAAAATAATTGATAAAATCATGTAAAAAATAGCAATGCAGTTGAAAATTTTTATGATGCGAACATTATAGTTTTCTCGAGTATAATTTGTGGTTAAAAGAACTTAATTCATTCTATGCATAACACAAATAATACGAATATAAATTCGTTTTGCTCATTATTTTGAGTTTTGTACTAATCGAATATTTAAGTGCACAGAACACGTTAGACAATTGAATATCACAATCGAAAAAATTCCACAATAGTATTTCGCAAATGTATAAAAGTTCTGGACAATTTTTCATCGTATAATCGCCACGTACAAGTTCCTTGAAGGGTACAAAGTGGATTCTTTTACGACGTCGTTGACGGGACGGCGTAGGCGATGCGAGGCGAGGCGAGACGACGCGTTTCCTTAAATCAAAGCACACTGCGTAACCTACCCGCGGCAGACCCCGAAAACCTGTCCCAATTCCATAAGAAGACCCTGCCCCCACGGTCGGCCTATTCCGGTGTGACATATAAATTCGTCGTGGCGCGTACGTGCGCCGCAAGAGGAAACATATATCGTGTCGGACGAATGCGCGAGAGCGCGACATCGGGCGCACCTGACCTGAAAGCTTAAGCTCGTTCGCAGACCCGGGGGCCCGTTTCTCCCATTCGGCCCCTCGTTATCTGCCTCCGTGGATCGGTACGCCTTTTCTTGCTCGCGAGACAGGAGAAGGTGTCGATTCCACGACTTTTTCGAGAGTTATGTAAAGCGGCCCGTCTCCGACTGATCGTAGAATTCTAACAAAATGAAGTTTACAAGTACAATCCTCTTTCTCGCGAAATAGCTCAGTAAATCGTCTTTGTTCCCATTATGTTAATCCTATTTGGTTTGTCGCGTCAAATGTTTGATTTTAAAAAATGGAAAGTTAAAACAAGCAAATTATGTTAGATAAACTAGTTAAACATTTGATCTTTACGTTGTAAAAGACACAATGTCCTTCATTGTACAAAGCTGCATCACTCGCAAATGTTCACACACGGAAACGTTCCTCGTATTCGTCGCACTTTTACATCAAAGATGTGTAAAAGATTCGCGATTCGCTGATTATCCGTAACATTGGCAACAACCGATCGACCATTATTAGATTTTGGTTCTCGAGTCAGAGGGCAATAGCTTCCGAGAAGCTTGTATCTCAGCAAGCGCGACTAACAACCACTGTTCCTTTTTAAGATATCGGTGACCAGGTGGAGAGATGTCTGTGATCATTTGAGAAATCCACCGTGTCAAATTTGGGCCTCGGGTCTCGAGAAGAGCCGTTCATAGCTCAAGTCACTCAGACACGGTTCTTTTGCCCTCTCGTTGCTCTCAACGTTACCCTGCTTCCCCTCTATCCCGGCTTCTCGCCTATCGTCACGATTTCGTCGGACTTCAGCAAAACGACTTAATGTATTATGAAAAGTACACGGAACCGATCTTCGACCGCTTCGGCCGCAGCGTAAGGCCCACACAAGAAGACCGGACCGGCTGTCGCGTTTCCCATACTGACACGATGCTCCACGAAAACTGGATTTATAGACATAAATATGAAAACGTCAAAATGAAGACTCTTTTCTATTTTTAAGATTACTAACTCAGGTCACTCTTTTTGAATTCTAACGTCGAGAGATTCCATAAATTGAACTCGTACGTGATGAATGTAGAACCCATTAAATTCTCATTATAGAAAATAAAGACAAAGATTAGACCATTGCTTACAAGTCAGCTAATCAATTTTCTTTCTTCTATATTAATTAAAAAGCCGTCAAATATCCGTAAAAGAAATATTTCTCTTAAATCAAAGAAAATAATATCATTAATTAAACAAATCTTTTACATTTTTATTTATCCATACTCTGAGAGAGAGAGAGAGAGAGAGAGAGAGAGAGAGAGAGAGAGAGAGAGGAAACACAAAAAAAAACACTAGCATTGCAAGTCTATCGAGCGTATTGTTCATCAAGTTCTAAATAGCAATTCAATCATTATTATTTACGTAAAAGCTTCAATAATATAATTGTGAATTGTTAATAGTTTGTAATAATTAATAATTGTACAGCAGATCACAAAAATATAAAAACTTTTTATATTAATTGACTTATCACAATGAAATATTATACAACATATATATACATATAATATAAATATTATATTATATTATTATATAACAAATAACAATAACAAAATAACATCAGCCTTCAATTATTTAACTTATATTTTATCAAGCGTACAGCAATGATTACAAGCTGCATCTCTTCTCAATATTTTATATATTTATAAGTATTTCACTTATCTCTAAAATATCTAAATGATATTTACATTGGCAATAGTTAAAAAATAGATCAAATACGAAAGCTAAAAGAAAAGTTAATTGAACAAACTTGATATTTGTCTGCGGATTAGTTGTATTCAAGAGATACGCGTGTCTTCGCAAGACCTCTCTCGAACACTATCTATTGAGTTATCTAAATAACGATTTGGATCTGACACGTGGGAGTAGCGCAAGGCCTGTGCACCATTCGTCACTACGTCGCTGCACCAAGACTGCTGCGACGAGAAACGAAAGGAGCAGAGATCGCTGCGCGTTCCTCGGGATTCTTCCCTATCTTCCACTTCGAGTTCTCCACTGTCCGGTGAGAGAAGAGACGTACAACTACCCGCGGAGGATTTATTACACGCTCCCTCCGTCCCTCTCACTGTCGAGAAACAACGATCTCGCGGCACGGTAGCTATCTGCATTATAAAACGTTGCTGCCAATACCCGTATATAGCAAAAGCTTCGAACCACCTCTTCCACCGTAAGATCACATAAAAGGTCCCTCTCATTTCGTCTCATTCTACCGACAGACGTGCTATTCTCAACATCGAAACTAGCATTCTGAGCATCAAGTCGCGATATCGAATTCGATAGTATCCGCCGAAAACTAGTAGATCCGCTCTGCTGGTTCTCATCTCCAACGTTCCTATCAGTTTGGAGAATCTCGAAGAAATGCTTTAGTCAGTGACAATCTTCAGGTTTCACGAAGAAGTCTTTTTAACATCGTCGACGAAGAACGACGTAATCAGCTGCCAGCTGTCCGATTGCCTTCTACACTGAGCAACAATCCATTGGAGCCAATGGATCCATTTCGTCGGGTAATCTAGTAACAGTTGGCAATGACTGAAGAAATCCTTGTCGCAATAATTAGCGAAAAAGAACCAAGAGATTATATTTTATTAATTTAAATACTAAATGCTTTAACTTCTATACTTCATCACGCTATTCAGAATTAGAATGAATATTTCATGTAATTTCTTCAAGTTGCTATATATTTTCTTTTACTTAAATTCTACAAATATATCTACTCGTGAATTAAAATCTAAAAACTGATGATAAAAAGTTAAACGTCTTTAAATTTTTCAATATTTAATTTCTTAGTTTTCAAATGTTTCATTTTTCGAATTTTATAATTTCACATGAATATTTTAAAATTGTTCAAACAAGTTCCGAATACATCAACGCGATAAAAAAGATAATGTAATCATGAGAAAAGGAAAAAATATTCCAGCCTGTATTCCTGTAATTCAAAGATAGTTGTGCGTCGTATCGTTTGTAAGTTGAGCAGCCACCAAAGCAGTCTCGCGAATGGCCGTCCGTCAATCGAGTCTGAAAGATGTCTTGGAGATTCTGGGAGACCTTGAAGGGCTCACAGAAAAACCACATCGCATTATCACAGTGAACCAATAACTAACTCTTTTTTTGAAACACCAACTTCCATTTTATATTCGTTCATATCTTTGTCCTCTCTAAATATTCCGAGAATACGTGCATATAAATCTACATCCATTTATGATATAGTATGTTTTAGAATATTCAAACAAAAAATCCAAAAATTATAAAACTACAAAAATTTACATTGTAATGAAAAATATGTTATTGTTAAATTATTGAAAATTTAAACCAAACAATACAATTTAGAAATCTTAGACATCTTCAGGCTATTATGTTGTTGCTGCTAAAGTTAGACGATATCTTGCGGCGATTCGCAATTTCCGCGTAGAATTGGGCGAGAAATCGCGATTTGTTCGCAGACTTCTCGCGAGGACGGAGTTTGGCATCGCATTGCTTCAGGCACCCCGTCGCGAGATCGTTTATACATGCGGACAGTGGATGCCCGCCGGCCGCCGCTGCTGATGGCCGCACTTTGTTTTGACGGACGGCTGAATAATCTACCTCTGAACTGCGCCTGATGGCTGTCTGTCTGTCGGCCCATCGTTTCGTTCTGTCCCGAACTCGCTACCGAAGTTCCTTCTACGGAAGCTCGGCTTCCCCGGTGTCCCGCTGTTTCATGATCTCTACCTTTATCCACGAGAGGAGAGAGCGATATCGCAGCCTTGCGTGTATTATCCATGTCGTGTTCGACGGTGTCATTGACGACGACCAGCAATTTGCTAACGGAGACAACTGAGATACGAGTGTCTCCCCGAAGCTTCGATGCATCCTATCTTAAACAATTACTTACAAATATACCTATAACGATCCCGATTTTGTTACTTCACCGCGTTGATTCCATCACATCAAAAGACTAACACAACATGATAAACTAAATCAACCTATTATCGGTCTCAAAATTTAATCAATAAAACATTCTTAAATCTGCAATCGTTTAATGAGGAAACTATTGAAACCTCGAAATTTTTGTCCAAATGTACCAAAAGATGCAAAGAACTTTAATGTGAAAAAATGCGATACCTCATACTAAATTAAATGATAAATCATGGAAGGAATGATTTATTTTTTGAAAGTTTTGGCAAAATAAGAATGAAACAAGACACAATAGCCAACTATCGATCACATTCTGTTGCAGGCTACAGAGAGACGGCATTCGCCTACGCAATTTCGGCAGCTGGCGTAGCTCATAACGTGGCTCGTGCCTGCAGTATGGGCCGCCTGCTTTCTTGCAGCTGCGATCCTTTACACTATATGGATAATCCGCCGACAACTACCAGAGACGTCACATTTAAGTGGGGTGGTTGCTCTCACAATCTCGAATACGGCATGGAATTCTCGAAGCAATTCCTAGACACGCGGGAGAAAGCCGGCGACATACAGTCTACAGTGAATCTACACAATAATCAAGCCGGTCGTCTGGTAAGCATTATAATTACTTTCCCAATTTCGACATCGTTAAATTCCGGATATGAGCATAATCATATTAATAAGGGACTTAAAAAAGAAGAAATATCACGTCTCATAATTTTTGTTATAAATTTTTTTTATATTTTACATTTCGATATTGCAACGCGTAAAAATCTATAATATTAGAGAAAAAAGTATATAACTGAAAATATATTTTTTATTAAAAAAATATTATGTAATAAATTAATGTGTTCTTTTATATAATTATTAGATTAAAAAAAAAAAACAATTCGTATATATTTAGGCAAACGATGCAACGATATGCATCTTTTGTGTTATTCAGCCTACATAATCAAAAAATATTGCTAATTATTAAAAACTATTCGTCAAAAACTAGTTAATTTCTCGTTTGCTTTAACTTTCTATCCATGTCTTTCGCTCTCGTAAAATTTCTTCCGGCGATATTCTGTCTACTACATTTATTTACTCGTTTTATAGACAAGTTACATGCATGCAAACATTGAACGATCATATTGACGGAGAAAGCTGAGCTATATTTTAACATAAGTTATTACAACGAGATTATCATCTTTTTGTAACAGTCTTTGTATATATACACACGATATCCCACGATAAATGATGCGCCATCTTAAAGCAGGCGCGCGCAAGAAATGTACCGTTAAATGGTCGGCGGGGAATCCCGAGAGGAAGCGAATTCGCAATCGCGTGCCGCGTTCGTCCGCGAATAATGTAGCGCGCACGCCGTCATGCGTAGGTCCGTGAGAGAGCTTCAAATTATCTTGCGCGCGATTCGCTTCTCTTCGTCCTTTCTTCATTGTTCTGTCTTTCCTCTGGCTTTTACTTTTTAGCGATGCACAGTCTTCTTCCTCTTCCCTCCCATCACTGCGATAAAAGAGCGAAAAAGGAGCCAGAAAGAAAGAAGAACGAAGAGAAACAAACTGAAAAAGAGAGAAAGGGAAAGAAAGAGGAAAAGGAAGAGAGAAAGACCGACGCTTCTCTCCTTCATGGACCTCTCCACGCTCGCTCTCTCGCCTCGACGTTATTAAGACGAAGCCCCAGGCTGGACCACCCAGCCGTAGACTCATTAACTGTTTTGTACGCGACACCTCTTTGTTTAAAAGAAACTGGGCCCTCCTCTCTTCCCTCTCCTCGTCTCTTACCCTCTTGACCACTCTGCGCACCCCACACATCCGAACGACTCGTATCTGTTTGTACAGCGTGTTAGAACCGGCGTTTTTCAGCCAACGTCACAACAGCGGCATCGCGGATATCGCAATTTGAGAGAAGGATTCGATTCCGCCCGCCTTGTCCGCTGGATCGAAGGCTCCGCACGAAAAAGAGATCCCAACCGTGTCAGACGCAAATGAAAAAGTCGATTGACCGTTTTGTACAAAGTCAACCGACGTGAAAGCGACTTCTTAACGCAACTTCATCATTTAGAACAGTCAATACACAAAATATTCTCCAAGTTGAGTGTGGTTGGCCGCAAATTTTTTTCATAGATTCTCAAACTAATTTGGAATTGATTTGGATTTTGTTCAACAAAGATGTCGAATTTCTGAATAATAAGTACGGATATAGAAAATACAAAAGTTTTTAGAAAAGAGAGGAGAGAGAGGAGAGAGAGAGTCCATTGAAGAAATATTAAAATAATTATTATAAATATAATTATTTTCGTAAACCTAATACTGATATAAATAAAAAATGATCTTTTCTCAGAAAAAACGTGAATTAGTAAAAAAAAATTAAATATGAAAAAGTATTTTACGTAATTAACATCTTACGTAATGCTCTTTTATTCACATTTGATGGGAAATAAAGAAACTGATTACCACATTCTTAATTCTGATCTCACTTTACGTAATGCGATTAATCATTCACAATTTGACACAATTGCAGGCATTGGCGAACAACATGCAGATACGCTGCAAGTGTCACGGCATGTCCGGGTCATGTGAACTGAAAACCTGTTGGAAAATCGTCCCGGATTTCCGAGTAGTCGGCAAAGTCCTGAAGAATCGTTTCAGAAATGCTGTATTGGTGACGCAAAGCAATCTGGGCAGTGTGATACCGTCGAATAGGATTCGAGGATCGCGACGGAAGCAAAAGCAAAAGCAGAAGAAGCGTCGCGGCGGAGGCCGCAAGAGGAAACTTCGGGATCTCCCTAATCAGCTCTACTACTACCAGAGATCACCGAATTTCTGCGAACAAGATCCAACGATCGATATTCCTGGCACCGCTGGTCGTAGATGCAACAAGACCAGCACCGGCGGAGATGGATGCTCCAATTTATGCTGCGGTAGAGGTTACAACGTGGTACGACAGCGGCGAACGGAGCGGTGCAGATGCAAATTTCACTGGTGCTGCTTTGTACAATGTCAGAATTGCACCGTGGAGGAGTGGATCACGGTTTGCAAATAAGATGGAACAGGGTAACGAAAAACATAAAACGGAAGTCTAAGACTGATGGAAATTGACGCGAATTCTTTTTCTTTCTTCGCCGACGAGAAAAGTATGTCATCGGCGATTCAATAAGAGAAGAAATTAACTCCGAGGATTCGCCGAGGTTATTCGTTCGCAAGAATCGATCAAGGAACGCATAAGTAGGATTAATAATATGGTTCTTATTGGATCAGGATTACCAGGCACTTCTTTCGAACTATCATGATATCGGAGTGAATTTATCTGCTAATTTCGAATCTGTGCGAACGTATAAGTAGAAAGATAATCTTTGTTAATAAAATTAAATCGATTTCCACAAAGACCAAGAAGTCTTTAAATGCGATTATAATTATAATTGTACAATTAACTAACACAATTTTTTACTCGTCGACACGTTATTCGTGTTCTTTCGAAATCATGCAGTCTTTATGGTAGAGTAGCGCGCATTGATTGCGTTTCGAGAAATTGTTTTAATTCTTATTTCTCAGTGAGAAAGTAAATGCGAATTTGTATATTATTATTATAAAGAGTCCAATCTTGGATTTCGTAAATGAGTCTTGGTGTGGTGGAAAACTACGCAAAACTGACTGACATAAATCGTACTTTACTAAACGTCGATTACGGAAATTATACTTCGATTTACCAATCATTTGCGAACGATTGGATTGGGTATAGCGGAGAAACGTGAATCGATCGTAGAAGTCCAATCGAATTAGGACAGATCTTGCGCAAACTATTCCGTAATGGCATGAATAATTTAAAATGATCCATAGGCTAAGTAAACTCATAATTTATTTATAACGACGTTCTATTTAATATTTAATTTTATAATTTTTATGTGAACTGTAAAACCTCCAGCACAGTATTATTAGACGAAAGGCGTGTTCTGGTGAACACGATTGTACACAATTTAATAATACGCGTACAATAAAGAGAGTTCCTTCAAACAATATCCTCTATTATATCCTTTTTCAAACGTCAAATCGAATCTTGTCAAATTATTATAGCGATTAGTCCAAATAATATTTTTATTTTTATAAATATCTTTAGTATTTGCTAATTGTGTGTATGTGTGTGTGTCTCACCCTTGAATCATTGAAATATGCGCGAGCTCTTTTCTTATTGAGGATTATTATAAATAAATACGCATTCGAATCTCAGAAAGATCTATGCCAATTCCATTTTTAGGCAGAAAAGAGCGCATTTAATCTAAACCGCAGAGTTTAATAATCAAGAGGCTAATTATCTTATCACGTCATTCCTAATTATATGCTTTTGTCTGACAGCACACTTGCACTACTACTACTACCATCAATATTACTCACGTCATGTAATTAAGCATCATATAAAGACATGCTATTAAATAAGTGACGCCAAAAAACAAAAGAGTGTCAGCATACATTAAAAAAACTATTTTATAGATATCGCTAAAACTTTCTGTATTAGTGAAGAAATATTCATGCAGTCACCTTCATGATGTTCATATTTCATATCTTATGTCAATACTTTTAAAAGCCTAGTTAATGATTTGACTTAATAATATATTTAATTTATTATATTTTTCCTATATCTATAAAAATACTTATAATTGCCAAACAGATTCTAATTAGATAAAGCTTCTCATCCTTTAATTCCGCGCAGCACATTGATATCGTGCGTATATTATTTCTTTTCTATAAATCATTAATAATTCAAAGTGTAAACAATATAATTTTATCATAAAAGATAATTAGTTTTTTATGATAATTGATAGTTATGCGAAAAAAAATGCAGAGGCAAAGAGACGATATAAAACTGATATAAAAGATTCAAACTAAAGGAAATATAAAAAAAATGTAATAGTTTAAAAGATACAAAACATGGTGGTTTTATGTGAGACGATAAAAATGAGCGAAGTGATAGGTAATATTCCATGATTGTCGTAACTTATACGTGATCGGCACAGAAGTAGCTCACTAGAATCAAGTTAATTGATGATAGCTGTAAGATGAATCCCCGTAATAATTAATTTCCGCGATATATATAACTTCATCTTTATTTCATATTACTATAATAATATATTTAATTATCCGTTTTATTTCATTATTATTTCATTACCCAATTTCTTTCATTACGTTATGATATATATAATTTAAATTATTTCTTTTCTATTCTCTCTAGAAAAGATTTGCTACCAATTTTCAGGGATTGACTTAATCATTTTGATATTCAAATATCGATTACCACAAACAGTAGAAGATTATCATTTTTGTTCTCACAAGCAAAAGAAGGTTAATTACTTTTTTATAAGCTTCCGGTGAGATAAAAACTTTTTTATAAGCTTCCGCGCATAATAAACTGTTAATAAGTTGATGACTGGTAAGCAAAATGGCAATGATACGCGAACAAGATAAAACGTCGAAATCCAAGGAAATACTCGCAAAGCAAGGAGTGGTAAGGCGCGCATCCGCATTAATTGCACAGTCCCGTGAGCGGCTCCCTTTGACGACAACGACCAAGACGATCCTGAAGAAGCCGCGATAAAGCGCATTAATCGCGCGCGCGCCGCCCCAAGAGATCTTTTTCCAAGTTACATCCGAAGAATGAGACTAGAACGACACATAGACGCAATAGTTTCTCTTATTTGTATTTTTCTCTTATTAATTTCTTATCTTTCATCTTTTTTCTTTTTTTTTATTTACTTCATTACCGAACTCGTATTATGCATTTTTTCTACGTATGCATTTCTGATATGTTAATTTTAGAATACGCGACAAAAAGTCATCAAGTATTAAGTATTTTAGATTTTTTTCTGTTAAGAGTGATTAAATTTGTTTTTACATTACAGATTTATTTTATCATTAATAGTATATAAAAAAATAATATCTAATAAATATTAATTATTGTTTTTACAGATATTAATGGAGAATAATAAAAAAAGATTTTTACAATATACGTACAATAACAAAATGTATAATATTTTATATTCTTTTATATTTTTACTAACAATTGTAAGTGATATAAATAAATGAAAAAATTATGATTATAAATTTTATTTTCCTAATTTATTGTGACAATAAACGTTAAAATAACCCAGTAAATAATATTAAACAATTATTTCTTCCCACGTAAGCGTCTATGAAGAAAGATTAAGATGTCTGCGAAAGATAAGTGAAAGCGTTGAAAAGCATTATCGCACGCAGCAAACTTATTAAGTATCTCTCAATCCGGATAAGCAGTTTGAAAAGTCTGAGAAGAAAGATGAAGACGAGAGAAGGAAAGAGGGTCAAAGATTATTCATGCAACCCAGACAATTCTCTCGGTAGGACTTAAAACGGTCCTTATAATGACGAATGGAAGATGATATGAATTTCCAAGGGAAGAGAATGGAATGGTGAAACGATTGAACGGCAGTCTGGCGAGTGAAATCAATGAGCTAATAGGCTTGCTTGGAGTTAGACAGTTAGCTAATTAAGTCTGTATTATTGGATCACTGAAGCCAAGCATCGCATTCGTATCCCTTACACACTGTGGCCGTCGATACGGCCACCCTATACGAATGCGGCGTAGTACACTTAGTCGCAACTGGCATTGTAAGGGTGAACGCCGCGGGACTTGCACGACCTGCTAGACGTGTTTTAATTAGAGGTGAATTCCATTGCACGGGACAACTTGAGAGAGCGGCGTTCCTTATGTAAGTAAGTACAATTTTCGCACACCCTTCTTTTGTCATCACCACGCCTACCGCGGATGCGAGGGCCATACGAGAAAAGTCGTGCATAAAAGTACACTAAAAATAATAAAGTCGATGAGTGGTGGATGTGACGGCGAACAATAACCAGAGTATAATCGGTATTTGGAAAATTAATAAAATGTGTTGCGATTAAATTCAAATAGGCAACATGTGCGAGTAATCTGTTTTTTATTAGTATTTCTGTTCGAACAATAGAAAGAAAAATGTATGTAATAATCGCACTAACAAAGATTTAATAAAGAGTAAAAATTTAACTCGAGCTTAATCTGCAACATTATCAGTTCTCTTACATTCATACATAGATTTTTTTTAATTGTTACCATATAATATAAAATCAGATAATATTAAACATTTTGATAAGAAAATTTAATTTTTTGTAAAATTTCAATTTTTGTATCTCAAAAACTATTGGTTTTAAGACCTATGTTTATCTTAGGCCTTGAAAAAATTTACATAAACTTAAGATACATTCTTATATTAAAAGAAGATTGTCAATACGATTTTCGTGTGGCAGTACAACAACTTATTTTTTATTTATGATATTTTATATCTAATATTTGTAGAGATCTCATGTTGTGTGTTTTAAAACAAAGCAAAAAATTGTACGTTCTTCGTATTAGCATTCCTGATATATCGAGACATTGTTAAAACAAAAGAATGAAGTAATAGAGAGCGAAGAAAGACCAAAACGGAGCCTCTTCCTGCTCACGCAAATCCAAAAAATACATCGACAAGTTAAATGTTACATGAGCTTCGACGAAGAAAAGACTAAGTGGCCAGATTCCCGGTATCAATTAACTCGTTGATGGAAATAACATACAGTTGCTACGATTGTTCGAGATAAGAACGCGAGAACTGCAACACTTCAGGCTTAGAATCTATTAACACGTTGACACTTTATCTGCCAAAAGCATCGATCGCAGAGCGTCTATAAAAGGCGGAAGGCGCGAAGCAAGAAAGAACCACATAAAGCGAGAACGATTCTTCCGAGATTCATCCGCGCTTCTACGTCATGAGTAGTTCGAACTAGCATGCGAAAAGACTTGACCCGTCCGATTGCTTCTATGAGAATGTCTATATCGAAAACGAAAAATAGAATTTAAATTACACAAAAGGAGAATTTTTGAGAAATAAAGAAAAGAAGATCTGAAAAATAAAACAAAGGAACAACTCGCGCTTACTTCATGCACTGTGATATCTTGCAGAATTGCTACGTCACTCGAGCAATGATTTACCATGTTGAAGA